CTAGTGTTGTTAAGTCAAAAGGCAAACATGATAGTTCATTTTTTAGAGATTTAAAATTTCTTTCCATAAGGTTGTACCAGTTTGCATTTCCATCACAGTGTATGAGAATGCCTGTTTCCCTACAACCTTGCCAAAAGAATATCACAAGTTTTAAATTTTTACCAATCTGAGAGGTGAGAAATAGTACATCAAAATTGTTTTAATGGACAGCTTTCAAATTGAAAATGAGGTTGAACATCTTTTCGTATGATTAAGAGAACTTTTTTTTTTTTTTTGAGATGCCCTCTGTCACCTAGGCTGGAGTACATGTAGCACAATTTTGGCTCACTGCAAGCTTCAATCCTGGGTTCAAGTGATTCTCCTGCCTCAGCCTCCCAAGCAGTCTGGGACTCATAGGCACAAGTCACTGTGCCGAGATAATTTTTGTTATTTTAGTAGAGACAGGGTTCACCATTTTGGCCAGGCTCGCCTCAAACTTCCTTACTCGTGATCCTCCCGCCTCGGCCTCCCAAAGTGCTGGATTACAGGCATTGACACCACGCCTGGCCTAAGGACTATTTTAATAATATATTTTCTTGAGACAGACCTCGCTTTGTCACCTGGGAGGCTGGAGGCAATGGTGCAATCTTGGCTCACTGCAGCCTCCCACTTCCCTGGTTCAAGTGATTCTCTCTGCCTCAGCCTCCTGAGTAGCTGGGACCACAGGTGCGTGCCTGGCTAGCATTTGTATATAAAAATTTTTTGTGAATTGTCTCTTCATGTCCTTTTGGTCCCTTTTTCTCTTTCTATCTAATTTTTGTGAGTTCTTCACATTTATACTAGGCCTTTATTTGGATATAATATTGCAAATGTTTTCTCCTAGTTTGTCAGTTTTTTTTTTTTTTTTTTTGAGACAGAGTCATCGCTCTGTTTGCCCAGGTTGGTGCAGTGGCGAATCTCAGCTCACTGCAAGCTCCGCCTCCGGTTCACGCCATTCTCCTGCCTCAGCCTCCCGAGTAGCTGGACTACAGGCCCACCTGCCGCCACGCCGGCTAGCTTTTTTGTATTTTTTTTAGTAAGACGGGGTTTCACCGTGTTAGCCAGGATGGTCTCGAATCTCCTGGACCTCATGATCCACCCGTCTTGGCCTCCCAAAAAGTGGCTGGGATACAGGCTTAAAAGCCACTGTGCCCGGCTGTTTGTCCATTTTTTTAACCTCATGTATAATTTTTTTGGCCATAGCAGTTTTAAAAATTACTAAGTATGTCAAATTTATTCATTATATTTATTAAATCTGGGATTTGAATCAGAGTTAGATAAACTATTTCCTGGCCAGGTGCTGGTGGCTTACACTTTGTATACTCCAGCACTCTGGGAGCAAGAGGCGGGGGATCACCTGGAGGTCAGGAGTCAAGTGACCAGTCCTGGCCAACATAGAGGTGCAAACCCCTGTCTCACTAAAATACAAAAATAGGCCGGGTGTGGTGCTACATGCCTGGTAGTCCGCTACTCAGGAGGCTCGAGGCAGGGTAATCGCAGTTCGAAACCCAGGAGGGCAGAGGTTGGCAGTGAGCCGAGATGGCGCCACTAGCATCCCAGTCTGGCCAACAGAGATGAGACTCCATCTTCAAAAAAAAAAAAAGGAAGAAAGATATTTTTAATTACTGGTCATTGGGTGGGCATGTGCCTTGTATCTCTAGAAGCTAACTTGAGAGGCTGAGTTCGGAGGGTCTCAGCTACTTGGGAGGCTGAGGCAGGGGAATCACTTGAACCTGGGAAGTGGAGATTGCAGTGAGCCGAGATGGCACCACTGTACTCCAGCCTGGTGACAGAGCGAGACTCCATCTCAAAAAAAAAAAAAAAAGTCTATGAACTAGTGATTTGAGATTTCACCTTTATCACATTCTAGATTGTATTTTATTTTCATTTATTTATTTGAAATAGGGACAAGTCTCCCTATGCTGCCCAGGCTGATCTCGAACTCCTGGCTGGGCTTGAGCAGTTCTCCCACCTTGGCCTCCCAAACTGCTGGGATTACAGACATGAGTCATCGTACCTCACCTAGGTTTTAGTTTTTAGTTTTATTTTTTCCTGCACCCAGCTAATTTTATTTGATTTGTAGAGACAGGGTCTTGCTATGTTACCCAGGCTGGTCTCGAACTCCTGGGCTCAAGTGATCCTCCTGCCTTGGCCTCCCAAAGTGCTGGGATTACCAGCATGAGCCACAGTGCCCAGCCCCACATTCTAGATTTCTATGGATAGAGTATGCTTAGGGATGAGTATGTTTCTGGACGTTTGACTTGGCTCTCCTGGTCTGTTGTCTGTCTGTGCACAGCATCACATTGTTTTAATGATAGAGGCTTTAGCATACATAGCTGGGAAGGCTAATGTTCTTTTTTAGTTTTTCTTTCCAGTGTTTTCCTAGCAATTCTTGCATGTTTGTTTTTCCATATGAACGTTAGTATCAATATGTCTAGGTCTATAAAAAAGCTGGGTGGTATTTTTATTGGGATTATGATACTTTAATTAACTGGGAGAATGGACATATTTTTTTATATTGAGTCATTTTATCCAAGGATAAGAAATGTCTTCATATTTGTTCAAGTCTATTATTGTATCTTTCTTGACTGCTGCAATGTATTCTCTTATGATTTTTTCCCTTGGTATCTTATTTTATGTATTTGTAATATCTTATTTTTCTTGAGTAAATTAGCTAATGGCTTGCCGATTTTCTCAAAACAAATACCTAGGGATTTGATTTATGAAATTATTAGGCCTATTATTTTTCTTTTTTTTGTTTTGAGACATAGTCTCACTCTGTTACCCAGGCTGGAGTGCAGTGGTGCGATCTCAGCTCACCGCAACCTCTGCCTCCTGGGTTCAAGTGATTCTCCTGCCTCAGCCTCCCAAGTAGCTGGGATTACAGGTGCATGCCACCATGCCTGGCTAATTTTTTTATATTTTTAGTAGAGACGGGGTTTCACCATGTTAGCCAGGCTGGTCTCGAACTCCTGACCTCGTGATCTGCCTGCCTCAGCTTCCCAAAGTGCTGGGATTACAGGAGTGAGCCACTGTACCTGGCCTTTTTTTTTTTTTTTTTTGAGACAGAGTCTTGCTCTATTACCCAGGCTGGAGTGCAGTGGCGCGATCTTGGCTCACTGCAAGCTCTCCTGCCTCAGCCTTCCGAGTAGCTGGGACTACAAGTACACACTGCCACGCCTGGCTAATTTTTTGTATTTTTAGTAGAGACAGGGTTTCACTGTGTTCGCCAGGATGGTCTTGATCTCCTGACCTTGTGATCCGCCCACCTCAGCCTCCCAAAGTGCTGGGATTACAGGTGTGAGCTACCACACCTGGCCAGGCCTATTATTTTTCTATTGAGGTTCATTAATTTCTGCTTTTATCTCTTAAAAAGTTTTCTTATGTTTCTGTCTGGTTTACTTTGCTGTTCTCTTGCTAGCTTTTTTTTTTTTTTTTCCCCAGATAGGGTCTTGTTCTATTGCCCAGGCTGGAGTACAGTGGCACAGTCATAGCTCATTGCAGCCTTGAACTCCTGGGCTCAAGCAATTCTCTTCTTGCTTCAGCCTCCCACGTATAGCTAGGACCATAGGTACATGCCACCATGTCCAGCTAATTATTTTATTTTTCAAGATGGAGTCTTCTGTCACTCAGGCTGTACTGCAGTGGTGCAATCTTGGTTCACTGCAACCTCCACCTCCACCTCCCGGGTTCAAGCAATTCTCCTACCTCAGTCTCCCGAGTAGCTGGGATTACAGGTGCACACCACTATGCCTGGCTGATTTTTGTATTTTTAGTAGAGGCAGGGTTTCACCATATTGGCCAGGCTGGTCTTAAACTCCTGACCTCATGATCGGCCTGCCTTGGCCTCCCAAAGTGCTGAGATTATAGGTATGAGCCACAGCGCCTGGTGAAGGTGTGGTTTTTCTGTGTAGGTTTTATTGTTGTTAGTGTTGTTCTATATTGTTTGTAGAGGTTACGTGGGGAGATTTGGGTAAAGGCAACTACCATTATTATCCTCATCAGACTTGTAGGTCTAACTTTTTAATTTTTTAATTTTTCTTGGTCTTTCATTATTGATTTTTTTGAGACAGGGTCTCACTCTGTCGCCCAGGCTGGAGTGTAGTGACATGATTACAGCTCACTGCAGCCTTAACCTCCCAGGCGCAAGGGATCCTCCTCTCTCAGCCTCCCAAGTAGCTGGGACTACAGGCATGTGCCACCATACCCAGCTAATTTTTTGTAGAGACAGGGTTTTGCCATATTGCCCAGGTTGGTCTTGAACTCCTGAGCTCAAGTGATCTACCCGGCTTGGGCATGAGCCACCTACCCTGGCCTGGTCCAACTTTTTAAAAGCATTATTCTGCCTCTTGGGCGGAGAATACATTGTAGATGGGCAAAGAATGAAGGAAACTAGTGGTTCAGGAGCTGGAGCTAGAAATGGTAAGAAGGGGTTGGACTTGGGATCTATGTTGAAGGTAGAGCCGACAAGATTTGCTAGGACTGGATGTATAGGGCGAGGAAGTAAGGAGAGCAAGAATGATTGGAGGGGTAAGTGGACTATCACCAGCTGTGTCTCATGAAGGGGTGTGGCTGGGCTACGAGCTATGCTCCTGAGCACGGACGGCTGTTTTCTCTCAGGTTACAAGCCTGGTGAAGGGAAACGAGGGGATGCCTGTGAAGGCGACAGCGGGGGACCCTTTGTCATGAAGGTAAGCTTCTCTAAAGCCCAGGGCCTGGTGAACTCATCTGGGGATGGGGAGAAACTCTTGTATCTAGAAACAGTTGCCTGGCAGGGGAATACTGATGTGGCCTTGAACCTGACTCTATTGGAAACCTCATCTTTCTTCTTCAGAACCCCTTAAACAAACGCTGGTATCAAATGGGCATCGTCTCATGGGGTGAAGGCTGTGACCGGGATGGGAAATATGGCTTCTACACACACGTGTTCCGCCTGAAGAAGTGGATACAGAAGGTCATTGATCAGTTTGGAGATTAGGGGGCCACCCATATTCTGGGCTCCTGGAACCAATCCAGTGAAATAATTATTTTGCTGTTTCTAAAACTATGGTTCCCAATAAAAGTGACTCTCAACGAGCTTCAGTGCTCCCAGTGCTATTCATGGGCAGCTCTCTGGGCTCAGGAAGAGCCAGTGATACTGCTGGATAAAGAAGACTTGAGAATCCACCACCTGGTGCACACCGGTAGTCCCAGCACTCGGGAGGCTGAAGTGGGAGGACTGCTTGAGCCCAGCACTCCAGCCTGGGTGACAGAGTGAGATCCTGTCCCAAAAGAATCCATCATCTTCAGAGCAGGGCCAGGTGAGAGGAAAGATGGCAGGTTGAATTTATAGGCATTTAAGATATTCCACCCTCTGGGCTTTAACGGATTATCTCATTTAATCCTCATAAGAGGTAGGTGAGTAAACTGAGATTTGGAGAAGTACCTTGTCTAAAGTCACATGGCTAAGAAAGGTCAAAGTAGGACTTCAAATATAGAAAATATTGAATGAGGCCGGTGCTTTTTTAGTTAACTCCCTACATCTTCCCTCATATCATTTAAAATGATGTCAGATCAGGTACGGCATGGTAGCTCACACCTGTAATCTCAGCAATTTAGGAGACTAAAGTTGAGGATAGGAATGTGAGATCAGTCTGGGCAATGTGGTGAGACCCCAAAAAATAAAATTAGCTGGGCGTGGTGGCATGTGCCTGTAGTCAAGGTTACTTGGGAGGATCACTTGAGTCCGGGAGGTTGAGGCTGCAGTGAGCCATGATCATATCACTGCACTTGCACTGTAGCCTGGGTGACAGTGAAACCCTGTTTATAAAACTCAGGGCCGGGTGCGGTAGCTCATGCTGGTACTTTGGGAGGCCGAGTTGGACGGATCACGAGGTCAGGAGATCGTAGACCATCCTGGCTAACACGGTGAAACCCTGTCTCTACTAAAAACACAAAAAATTAGCCGGGTGTGGTGGCGGATGCCTGTAGTCCCATCTACTCGGGAGGCTGAGGTAGGAGAATGGCATGAACCTGGGAGGTGGAGCTTGCAGTGAGACAAGATTGCACCATTGCACTCCAGCCTGGGCGACATGAGCGAGACTCTTATCTCAAAAAGAAAAAAAAACAGATCTGGCTGGATATGGCTCACACCTGTAATCCCAGCACTTTGGGAGGCTGAGGCTGATGCAGACAGATCACGAAGTCAAGAGATAGAGACCATCTTGGCCAACATGGTGAAACCCCAGCTCTGCTAAAAATAAAAAAATTAGCTGGGTGTGGTGGCCCATGCCTGTGGTCCCAGCTAATCAGGAGACTGAGGCAGGAGAATCACCTGAACCCGGGAGGCGGAGGTTGCAGTGAGCCAAAATCATGCTGCTGCACTCCAGCCTGGCGACAGAGTGAGACTCCATCTCAAAAAATAAATAAATAAATAAAAATAAAAATCAGATCTATGCTGGGTGAGAGCAAAACTCCATTTCAAAAAAAAAAAAAAACAAAAAAAAGAAAACTTTGACAGTATTGTGGGATACAGTAGTTAGGAGCATAGTCCCCACCATCAGACGGCCTGGGCTCATATTCTGGTTCCAACATTAAGAGAGAAAATCATGGTCAAGTCACCTGACCTCCCTGGGCCTCAGTTTCTTCATGCAGTCATCCTGTGGTATCCATGGGGGATAGACTCCAGAACCTACCATGCATACCAAAATCTATAGATGCTCAAATCTCATATATAAAATGGCAGAGTTTATATACAATCTATGCACATCCTGTCATATACTTCATTTTTAAAATTTATTTTTATCTTTTTGAGTTGGAATTTCGCTCTTGTTGCCCAGGCTGTAGTGCAATGGCGCAGTCTCAGCTCACTGCAATCTCTGCCTCTTGGGTTCAAGTGATTCTCCTGCCTCAGCCTCCCGAGTAGCTGGGATTACAGGCGCCCGCCACCACGCCGGGCTAATTTTTGTATTTTTAGTAGAGACAGGGTTTCACCATGTTGGTCAGGCTGGTCTCAAACTCCTGACCTCAGGTTATCCACCCGTCTGGGCCTCCCAAAGTGCTGGCATTACAGGCGTGAGCCACCCTGCCCAGCCTTCCCATATACTTCAAATCATCTCTAGATGACTTATACCCAATAGAACATAAATGCTATGTAAATAGTTGTTATACTGTATTATTTTAAAATTTGTATTATTTTTAATTGTATTATTATTATTGTTTTCTTTCCCCACAAATATTTTCAATCTGCAGTCGGCTGAATCTGCAGATGCAAAACCCACAGATCTGGAGGGCCACCTGTATATTAAAAGGTATATATAATGACATTACTTGCCTCATACGGTTATGAGGATTAAATGAAAGAACTTACATGGTGTCCTTAGCACAATGCCTAGTGCCTAGTAAGCTCTCTGTGAATTACCACCACTCGTATTCTCACTATTGCCTGGGAACTAGATCGGGCATTGGGCCTAGCTGTTGAAAGTTCCTCTGCTGCTTACCTCCTCCCTCTCTTGGGCCCTGGAAATAGCCCATCAGTGGGGTAGTTGCTTTCTGGAATGTTTCCTCACCCAGCAGTTCCCAGCTGGAGCAATTTATTTTTCCAAGAAATGAGACCTCAAATTTAAGTTATGAGTTATAGGCTGGGCGTGGTGGCTCATGCCTATAATCACACCACTTTGGGAGGCTGAGGCTGGTGGATCATCTGAGATCAGGAGTTGGAGACCAGCCTGGTCAACATGGTGAAACCCTGTCTCTACTAAAAACACAGAAACTAGCCAGGTGTGGTGGTGGGCACCTGTAATCGCAGCTTCCCAGCTTCTTGAGAGGCTGAGGCAGGAGAATTGGTTGAACTCAGGAGGTGGAGGTTGTAGTGAGGAGAGAGGCACGCCACTGCATGCCATTCAGCCTGAGCGACACAGCAAGAATCCCTCTCAAAAAAAAAAAAAAATCATAGAACTTCAAAGATACCCTTTCAGAGCACATTCTTCACGGTTACTGTGGGCAGAGGTCACAAGTGTGGGATGGAGCATGGCTCCGTCTTGACAAGTCTCATGCATGAGCTCAGGGAAAGAATGAAGATCAATGTCTGCCTTAGGCACAGGATAGTGGCGTGGAGCAGGAAAATCCTGTGGCTACAGTACCTGGCCTAGGATCTTCTAATGTGGTTTTCAGGGGAAGGGACCTGAGATAGGGATCTTTAGCACCCTCCGCTTAACGTTTTCTTTTCTCCTCATTTTTCAACACATCAGAAAACAAGTAGGACAGAGTTCCTGGGCCTCATTCTTTGGTTCTGGTTGACCGAAAGGTAGTGAGCTTGCAGGATGTGGCAGCCCAGGGCATCATCTCGATCAAGGGGGAAGGGATTCAGAATTGCCTGTAACATGCAGGACCTGCTTTTTAAACAAGAACACACATTCTTGTAAGTCTATTTTCTTCCAACATAGCAGTCAGTGTTGTAAGCTCTAGGTACTTGGGTTTTTCAAGTCAGCTGTGCTAATTCCAGACCGGAGTACAGCCACTCTTTTTTTCTTTTTGCCCCTCCTCTGAGACAGGGTCTCGATCTGTTGCCCAGGCTGGAGTGCAGTGGAGTGATCATGGCTCACTGCAGCCTTGACCTCCTGGGCTCAGATGATCCTCCCACCTCAGCCTCCCAAGTAGCTGGGACTACAGGCTTGAGCCACTATACCCAGCTAATTTTTGTGGTTTTTTTTGGTAGAGCCGTGTTGCCCATGCTGGTCTTGAACTCCTCGGCTCAAGTGATCTACCCACCTCAGCCTCCCAAAATGCTAAGATTATATGAGTGAGCCACCAGGCCCAGCCTTTGTAGCCATTCTTTCTAAATATGTCTTTCTACTATAGAAGCAAATGCCTCCAAATACCCACTCCGGGTATTTGGGTGAACAAATACCCACTCCCATGTTCCCACTATAAAGGAGAGATAAGTTTAATTTCGGGAGGCTCCAGGGTCACCTGAAAACGATGACTGGAACCTTTACAGGGTTAATCTTCCATCAGTCTTTCATTTCTTAGACATCAATTGAGTTGAAGGTGGGCTACAACAATTTCCTTTGAACTTTACAACTGCCCAAAATCTCCTCCTCAATCCAGAACCTTTTCATCCTGAAGAGTTTTTCTGACTGTGGAGGGAGGTCTTGTGGAATTTATTCCAGAGGTGAATACTCAGCTCACTTTCTCATCCTTACTCTGACTGAACGTGAAGCAACTATTAGCCTGGACCAAAAGAGACTCATATAACCAAGCAGGAAACCACTAAGCTGTCCCAAACTCCATGAGTCAAATGAACACAAATCTAGTTGTAGTGTGAGAACCACTGAGGCCCAGCCAATCTCGGCGCAATCTTGTGTGCTTTTGGTCAGCAAAGTGGTAGGATGCCCAAGAGCTCCTTCAAATGACTGGTGATGAGCAGAGGGAAATCATGACCAAAATCTCAAAACAAGGAAGGATGAGATTTTTCTGCTCCCTAGGAGCTGCATGTGGAGAGCAGGAAAGGAGAGTTCCTTCCATTCCAAAGGAATAAAAGACAGCTTCAAGTCTGTGAGCCAAGAAAAAGGGAAGCTCTGTAAGCAGTAATGAACCTTTTCCTAACTGGCTGAATACCCAGCTGGTACCAAAAGAAGTTAAAAAATTGCTGCCCAACACTCCATGATATGGAGCATCTTGGGAGTCAGGTATAGTTAATGCAAACTTTATTTATAAAAGACTCTTAAATTAGTTGTATCATGCCATGCATTCATACAGAATACAGTGACCCTTCAGGGCGACAGAGAAGAGCTCACAAACTGAAAGGAAAACTATTAAAGAGTTTCTAATATTAACTATTAGAAAGCTAGGAAAGATTAGGACAGTTTTACAAATGAGCAATTAAAAAGAAAAGGATCTGGGAACTAGACTGAGCAAAGGGGGCAGCTGTTTACAAGTCTGTACACTAAACTCATCCACGGACAGTCTTCTAGAGCAGCGGGACGCTGACGAAGAGAAGCAGAGTATGTACAAGTACTTGTGCCACAACGACTCCTCCCCCAGCTCCACGGCATGATACGTACAACCAGTCTGTATACACTAGGCCTGCTGAGGCCACTTTAAACTATGAGGACTTCTAGTTTAGTAAACTAAAGCTGCAGGGTGCCAGGGGAATGGGGCAGCTTCATTTGCGACTGCTCTTTATTCTCTCCAGTCTTTTTTTCAAGTCGTCTATGTTAGCTGTGGAGGAGGAGGAGGTCACAGTTCCTGAAGAGTGAGTCTGGTTAGAATCCAGGTCTGAATGCTGGTGCTGCTCCCGAGACTCCCGGAGTTGAGAGAGTTTGCTGTGGAGCATGTCTGTGGAAGAGGCAACGGTAGGAACTGCTGGTTTGGAGAGCAAAGAGGTCAAAGGAGGTCGGTCATCTTGCTATTGAGAGAAGGAGAGAGATTGTCTAAGGTCAGGTCAAGGAGGTCAAGATGCAGCTCCAGAACCACATACAGCAAGTCTAAGCTTTACACTTCTCTGTGGGCCAGCCTGCCTCGGACCTGCTTGTGACTACCCTCCCTGAGCTGCACAGAAGAAAAGGAATAGTACCTTTGTGTTGTCCAGACCACATCGCTGTCGGAGGATCTTTAGCCTTTCCAGGTAGACAGATGGCCCCACTTCTTCCCCATTTGTGTTACCTATGGAGGACACTGTGCTTGTGGGTGTGGGCACACATGTGACCTCCATCTGAGGGGAGATGCCTAGAGAGGAAAAGGTAGAAAGAATATTCAGATATCCACATATCCCCCTTCTAAAGTGCCTTGGTTAATCTCCCACCAAAAAGAACAATTAAGAATTTCCTGGGGCTTGAATATTGTTACTATACTTGAAAACTAAAAATTCCACAAGAATCTACCTGGAGTTGGTGATAAGGATGCTCTGAACTATACAATATAAGCTTCTTGAGAACACAAAAAATTGATACAGAAAGGCAGAATGTAAATTGGGTCATCCATCTGCGTCCTGGGTTATGCAGGGGATTATACTCCAATAATCCCAGGGGTGACTTGGGCAATCCAAAAAGCTGAAGCTACTCCTGAGGATACTGTAATTGCCCAACCGAAAAACCAGAGGACCTTAAATGTTTGGAAGAATTAGATTAAGTTTGGACCAATGTCACATAGGAGACACTCATTTGAACCTGTGAAGGAAGCAAGGTGTCCAAGGCTATGGGGTATTCATGGGGAAGAGAAGGAGGTGTCCAACAATTATCTAAAGAGGGCGTAGAACTGGAGTGTCTGTAACCTACCACTAAGATCAATATCTGGCAGGAGAGAGGAAAACCAAAACAAGAAAAAATCCATCACACTTCCTAAATTTCTGAATGAACAACGATACAACGCAGGCCTTTAAAATATTTCACTTGGTATCAATGCAAATGCATTCCACAGGCCCCAAAGGTAAGGTACTGGGAGGAAACACTGCCTTATGGTAAACAGAAAGGTAGAACAGGTTACTCCAGGGAAAAAGGACTCCTTTAATGTAAAGATGAGGACAATCCTCTGAGGGGTGAAAAATGAATGAAGAACTATGTAAAAGCCAACAATAAGAGATGTCTGAATACTCTAAGGCACAAAATCAATTTAATAATCAGTGGGAATACATGCTTGGGTTGCAAATGTGCTGTTTAGGCGAAAATTATCACACGTTGAACATCCCCAAAAAGGGCTTTGGAAATGAGGATAGAATGCCTGCCCTGATCAAACCATGGTATGTTTACATGTGGCATACTGTTTGACATTTTGCGCACCATACTTTAACTCCTTAGAGGTCTTTTTCATTAAAGACCAGCCGGGGCAACAAAACAAGACCCCGGCCAGGCGCAGTGGCTCAGGCCTGTAATCCCAGCACTTTGGGAGACCGAGGCAGGTGGATCACTTAGAGGTCAGGGGTTCAAGACCAGCCTGGCCAACATGGTGAAACCCTGTCTCTAAAAAAAATTCAAAAATTAGCTGGGGATGGTGGCTCACACCTGTAATCCTAGCTACTGGGGAGGCCAAGGCAAGAGAATCACTTGAACCCAGGAGGCAGAAGCTGCAGTGAGCCTAGATCGCACCACTGCACTCCAGCCTGGGTGACAGAGAGAGACCCTGTCTCAAAAAAACCCCACAAAAACAAAGAGACCCCATCTCAAAAAATAAAAAGACTTGTAAAGTCTTGGAAAGGCGTAATTTAAGGTGTCAAAAACAAGAACTCCTGTTTAAGAGAACAAAATTAACTGAAGCTTCAGCCCAGCAAGATACAGGCTGAGAGTAGATATGATCAGGGTCTGAAAACCACAAAGAGACATGACATGCTTTGACAGGCAAACACATTCTCAAATGTAAGAGCAGGTGAATGTCACTAAACTCGGAAAGAACTAAGCACAGCACTGATGAGAGGGCACTTTTGCAGTTGGGTCTTTCTTGTCTTGGTTTAAGGCTCATGGTAGTTATTTTCTATAACTGAAACCTCCTAAGTCTTCCGTTTGTCTCTAGATCCTGTGAGCAGTAATTCTCAAACGGGGACTTTCTCACTGTGGGGGCAGTAACATTTCAGCTTAAACTTAGTTACTGCATTCATTCATATCATTTAACGAATAACATCATGTGGCTTAAGGGCAAGGACACGTTCTGGGAAATGCATTTGTTAGGTAATTTCATAGTTATGCGAACACCTAGTTGGTATAACCTGCCACACATCTAGGCTACAAGCCTGTATAGCTTGTTACCATACTGAATAGTGTAGGTAATTTTAACACAATGTTAAGTATGTATCTAAACAGAGAGAGGGTACAATAAGAATGCCGTATAAAAGATAAATGGTACACCCGTATAGGGCATTTACCAGGAATAGAGCTTGCAGGACTGGAAGTTGCTCTGGGTGAGTGAGTGGTGTGTGAAGGTGAAACCCTGGGACACTACTGTCAACTTTATAAACACTGTACACTTAGGCTACACTAGACTTATACAAAAATAATTGTGCTACAACATTATGACAGCTACGGTATCATCAGGTGATAGGAATTTTTCAGCTCCATTATAATCTTATGGGACTGGCTGGGCATGGTGGCTCACACTTGTAATCCTAGGACTTTGGGAGGCTGAGGCGGGGGGATCACTTGAGACCAGGAAGACCTGGAATTCAAGACCAGCTGGGTCAACATGGTGAAACCCTGTCTCCACTAAAAATACACACAAAAGGCCGGGCACGGTGGCTCACGCCTGTAATCCTAGCACTTTGGGAGGCCGAGGCGGGTGGATCACGAGGTCAGGAGATCGAGACCACGGTGAAACCCCGTCTCTACTAAAAATACAGCAGATTAGCCGGGCATGTTGGCGGGTGCCTGTAGTCCCAGCTACTTGGGAGGCTGAGGCAGGAGAATGGCGTGAACCCGGAAGGCGGAGCTTGCAGTGAGCCGAGATCGCACCACTGCACTCCAGCCTGGGTGACAGAGCAAGACTCTGTCTCAAAAAAAACCAAAAAATTAGCTGGGTGTGGTGGCATGCAACTGTCCAGCTACTCGGGAGGCCAAGGCAAAAGAATCATTTGAACCTAGGACATGGAGGTTGCAGTGAGCCGAGATCGTCACTGCACTCCAGCCTGCATGACGGAGTGAGACCCTGTCTCAAATAAATAATCTTATGGGACCACCATCATATATGCAGTCCGTCATTGGCCAAAATATTGATATGCATGACTAGACACAGATGCTGAACAATTAACCTAATAAATACTACATTATGTAGTATGTTAGAGGTGTAAGTGCTATGGTAGGGTGAGGGATAGGTTGCAAGTTTTAAACAATAAGGTTTTACTGGCCAGGCATGGTGGCTCATGCCTGTAATCCTAGTACTTTGGGAGGCCAAGGCGGGCAGATCAACTGAGGTCAGGAGTTGGAGACCAGTCTGGCCAATATGGTGAAACCCTGCCTCTACTAAAACTACAAAACTTAGCTGGGCATGGAGGTGCATGTCTATAATCCCAGCTACTCGGGAGGCTGAGGCAAGAGAATCTCTTAAACCTGGGAGGCGGAGGCTGCAGTGAGCCAAGATCGTGCCACAGCATTCCAGCCTGGGCGAGAGGGCAAGACTCCATCTCAAAAAAAAAAAAAAGGTTTTACTAAGATGGTATTTGAACAAAGATGTGAAAAAGGAAAGGAAGCTAGGCAACAAAGCCATCTTAGGAGGAGCATTTATATGTAAGAAATAGCCAGTGCAAAGGCCCTAAGAAGACACATGACTGGTGTGTTCCAGAAACAACTGGGGGAGGCCAGGCATGGTGGCTCACACCTGAAATCACAGAACTTTGGGAGGCCAAGGTGAGTGGATCACTTGAGCCCAGGGCAACAAGGAGAAATCCCGTCTCTACAAAAAATACAAAAATTAGCCAGGCATGGTGGCATGCACCTGTAGCTCCAGCTACTCGGGAGGCTGAGGTGGGAGGACTGCTTGAACCCAGTGAGCCATGATCACGCCACTGCACTCCAGCCTGAGTGAGAGAGCGAGACCCTGACTCAAAAAGAAATAAGGGGGCTGTTGGGGCTGGAGTGAAACAACAGGAAGAGGACTAGGGGA